TGATGTGTAGATCAATGTTTGGGTCCCACGCCATACAAGGAAGCCCAACTGGGCAGTAGTTTGGAAGGCTAAGTGAGCACATAACCTTATTGGGCCTAAAGCCCATTTCGAACTGGGCTGATTTGATCAATTAAATGAGGGGTGAATTCTAAGATTAGATTAACAGATAGGATTGGGCCTTAACCCTATCCACTCAGAGAGTCCAKATCTGAATGTGATTCAGATCTGGAAACCTCCTAATAGGATTAGGAGGGGGCTGATCTAATCTGCAGATAAGATAAGGGTTAACCCTTATCACTTAATGGGAATTCTGATCCAAATATGATTTGGATCAGCAACTCTTAATGGGATTAGGAGCTGATCCCTTTAAGGTTATAAAAGGAGGAGGGGGCGGCAGCCTTTAGTCACTCATCACATTCTGTCTTCAGAGCTGAAATCACAGAAGAGAGAATTCAGCATCACTGCGCTAAACCTCTCTTGCCGCCTCCTTCCTGCCGCCGCCATATCTGCCAGTTCGATCTCCKCTTGTTAGTAGGAGTGATCAAGATTGGATCTTGATATCAGCCCTTTGTGAAAGGGCTGATTGGAAGAAGTGCTCACGTGTCGTCCAGCTGATTCTTGCGAAGGATCTGGTTCTTTTGAAGAGCGCTGCTGATTCTGCTCCATCTTGCACTGCGCCATCTTCAGTGGGAGCAATTTTTGGTTCCTTCCTTGGGCATGAACACCTCCATTGAGAGATACTATTTCTCTGTATCAGGTATATCCCTTTCCTACTGCTTTTGTTCAGATCTGATTCGGTTCATGGTTCAAGATTGATCATTGAAAAATATGATTTTTCTAAAATAGGGAATACGATTCCCAGTAGGATAGAGAATTTTTTTGAAATTCGCCCATTCTATTCCGCAAGATTCAGACGTCCATACGATGGATATCTCCTCCCTTTAGAAACCTGATACAAATTCCTCCCGGTGGGTACAGGAGAATTACATGGTGATGGCTTGGCTGTGTAATTCTATGTTACCTCACATTGGTAAAAATATTTTGTGGGCTAATACTGCAAAGGAGATTTGGGATGGAATGACTGAAACCTATTCCCAAAAACAAAATGTAGCTAGAGCTTATCAAGTTATCAGTTAAGGAATTAGGTGATTAGTACAAAACAGGGAGACATGTATTTCTCCATGCTGAAAATACTTTGGCAGGAGATAGATCACTTAGAAATAGTGGCCTGGGAGAGTACGAAGAATGCAGCAACCTATCAGAAGTTGGTATAGAAGAATAAGGTTTTTGAGTTCTTGGTTGGGCTAAACCCTGAATTCGACATTGCCAAGCAACACATCCTTTCTAAAGAAGTGTGACTCTTTCGCAAGCTTATGCCTTTGTTTCTGGAGAGGAGAGCAGGAGGAATGTCATGTTGAGACAACTTGGGAGTTATCAGTCGGCTATGATTAGTACAATCAAACCTAAGCCAAATGGAGACAAAGGGAGTAGTGAGACTAGGAGGGAGGATAAGAAGGACTTGGTGTATGACTATTGCAAGAAGACTAAGCATACCAGAGACACTTGTTGGAAGCTTCACCCATACCTCACACCATCTCGGGTCAAGAACAAGAAGGGAAATGCAAATGTGGCAATTATAGAAGACTCTTCGGGACCTCTTACCCAAGCTGATTGTGAGTCCATTGCAGTAGCAGCAGTTGGAACTGAATTGGAAAAGTATGGACAGCTTATGAGTAAGAAGGATTCAACCAGTTCTAGTTCTTCAGACAAGTAGCAATAGGATCCAATCACAATACTTCTTTTGCTCATACAAGCAGTTCATATGCAGTTGCAAATTATGCATCCACCTCAGGTAAGGAGGGACCTCCCTGGATTATAGACTCAGGAGCATCTGAGCACATGACCAATATACCTACCCTTCTCAGTTCCTACCAGTTGTGCTTTGGTAGAGACAAAGTCTCTACAGAAAATGGTTCACATATTCCCTTTGCTAGGAAAGGAACAATTAGAGTGACCAATGACATTACTTGATCCTTTGTCTTACATGTCCCTAAACTCCATACTAATCTTCTTTTTGTGAGTTCTCTAACAAGAAATTTGAACTATTTAGTGACTTTCCTTCCTAGTAATTGTGTTTTGTA